GTTTCGATACCAGTGGTGGGCAGAGCACAGATAGCCCTTGTGTAGCTTTGTGCATAATTAAAAAACAAACAAAGAAGCATGAAAGTATCAAAACATGAATGAATATACTAAATGCAACTTTTTTGAAATATCAGCGGTGTAGAATAAATTAACAACTATATAGTAAGCAAAATCAAAGTTACAGCATAAATAGGAATAGCGTATCATAAGTATAACATACGAGTAAGCTTAGCTTTATATCAATATCATATATAAGTTATCTATCTTACTTTCTGTACCAGCCTTTAGCAAGTTATATTTTAAATTTAGTGCTATAAGCGAGCTGAGCTAGCATAAAATGTGAGTTAGTAGGGTAGGAATTTGGAAATATGCACACACACATACACACACACATATATATTTATTTTAGAAAATGTTAAGATACATGAAACATCATAATATTTCGTCAGGCCATGTTAATGATGTTTTGATCGTTATGTTCATGTACAACTCATGAAAAAAGGTATACTCAACAGCTCTCTGGATTTAATCTATTTACTAACACCTACTTGGTCTAAATTAGCTCGTGATATGAATGAAAAAAGCAAGGAAAAATCAGTTAGCTAACGGAATGAAACTACCTAGTTTCATCACATGACGTATAAAGCAAATGAATATACAGAAAACTGACATATTTGTGTGTGTGTGTGTGTGTATGATTGAGAAAAATAAAATAAAAACAACTCTAAGATAAGGATATTAAGTTCGATCTACGTAGTTCAAGTATTCCTTTAACAAAGTATCAAAACAACTTCCAACTTGTCTAAAGGACTTAGTACATTTCATAAATATTTAAAAGTGTTCCTGATAATTTTAGTGCAGTATCTGAAGAAGACCTCTGAAAGCATGTAAGGCTATGTGGCCTCTTTCAAATGATTAAATTCGAAGTACCCTTATATAAGTACATTGGAAAGTTTGGCTACATAAAGCTGTAGGTTTCTTACTAGAAGTTTGTGAGATTCATATGAAAAACACATGTGTTACGCAATTTCATTTTCTTCAACATATTCAGTGAACTATAGGAAGATATTATAGATGCGGATGCTGCCAGTCTAGTTTGCTAAGTCACAAAATTTTATTGAGCTAAGTGTTAGACATGTTCACCGTGTCTTTAAGAATCTCTATTAAGAATATATGTTTTCTTCCTAGTAGAAACACTTCCTCTGTTCCACTTTGTGTTGAAATTTACGCTTAGAATCTGTAGAAACGCTGGTATTCATATAACATATGGGCTTGCGTGATCAGGGGTGCAGCACGTAAATTTGCACAGGCGGCAGGTTCTTGGGGCAACAAAAATGAATGTAAAAAATTGTTTCTGGCCGCCATCTGTTCCCCATCAGACAGAATAGACATTTTACAGTAAAGCATACAGCTAGAGCATAACACTGCAGCTACATACAGATAATTCATAGAAAGTTCCTTGGGGGTGGACGGCACAGTCAACGTTAGCACATGGCAGCAAAACACGTTGCGCCGGCCCCGTATAACACTTACTTCGCTTTAGCATTAAAACTGAATCTATTTTGAAAAAAAAAATTACAGTTCAAGTGGGTTAAGGCGTCTCCACAATTTTCCGAGTAACCACGTATGCAGCTTTTCTCGTGTAGGAGCTTTCGTAGCTCCTACCTAACTGACGAACTCAAGGAAAGATCTCCTAGCTAGTTGACTGAGTTAGACAAACGATGAAAATACTTTAAACACTTCTAATTTAAAATGGATCGACTAAGAGGATTAAAGAAACTTGCAGCCAATGCCTGATTAATTTTACGCTTCAACACTTTATGCGTTTAAAATTAGAACAACAGACTACTGTATAGTTCAGCAAAAACAAAATACGTTTATCAGTGCTATGCGGTCAATTGTATGATAAACAAGCTGAGTTGTCAAACTCGGTCGTGGAGCCTTTTGTTACAACTTGTTTGCGTGACAGCACAACTGACTAGTAAGGCACACTGTCTATGCTATCTTGAATACAGACTTACCCCAGAAAAGCTTAAATATTAGGTATAATCAAAGGTAGAGCAATCCTGTTATGTGTATGTTACGCTCAAGATGCTCTGATAACTGAGAAGAAGGGGAAGCAGTAATCTTATAACACCCTAAAGGAGAATAATGTAGAAGAAGGGGAAGCAGTAATCTTATAACACCCTAAAGGAGAATAATGTAGAAGAAGGGGAAGCAGTAATCTTATAACACCCTAAAGGAGAATAATGTAGAAGAAGGAGAAGCAGTAATGTTATAACACCCTAAAGGAGAACAATGTAGAAGAAGGGGAAGCAGTAATCTTATAACACCCTAAAGGAAATAACTGAGAAGAAGGGGAAGCAGTAATCTTATAACACCCTAAAGGAGAATAATGTAGAAGAAGGAGAAGCAGTAATGTTATAACACCCTAAAGGAGAATAATGTAGAAGAAGGGGAAGCAGTAATCTTATAACACCCTAAAGGAGAATAATGTTTTTGCTAAGTTAGTAGAAGAATATGCCACTGAATAAAACGTTTATTGAGTTTGTTAGACTTTGTTTGAATGCACCATTACCAACCACAATTCTTTATTAGACAGAAGGAAATAAACTTAAAGGGTTGTAAGGTACTTAACATATACAAATACGCACCAGAGGATAGAATGTGCACTTGGATATTTTGTACATGAAAGTTAAGCCTGTAATGTTAATATTCAAGGAACTTGTGTAAATATTTAAATATATTAAAATACTCAAACGATCAACGATTGGGTATTTCAATATACTGTAATGTTAAGTTTAATGCACTAATTCACCATATTAAAGAAGGTTACAAAGGGAGTATAAAATTAAAGGATATTGAAAATTCGACTCTGCACAGTATTCTTATTCGACGATTTGATGATTTTTAATTAAGTGTAAAATAATTTTTATCTTATTCCGACTGATAGTTTCAGCGTTGGTCGAACTGTACAAATACCACACTTGGCACATTTTCATCACTTGATAATTTTGCAGAGAGTTTTAAATACAATTTTGGCGTTTAGCATTTAGCCTTAAATACCTATAAATCAGAATTAGGTCTCGATTCAAGTCTTGAAAATCCTAAAAAGAAGTAATAAAATTTAGTTGTGCAATTTTTAAATCATTGAAGCTAACAATTTCTATAAAAAGTATAGACCGAGTAAAATGTACATTATTGTATAATTTTAACTCAATTATATGTTTTTCGCGTATATAACAAGAACTCTCGTTACAGGTGTTTTATGTTACTAATACAGTGCCTGCGGGAAGAGGTTCTGCTTGAAGCTTATTTCTTGTGTGACCCAGACGACCTCCCGTCCCAGTCGCTTTCGGAAATTACAAAATCGAATCAGGTGTTCTAAAACGAAGATTTCAAGAATCTAAAAGAGATGGATAATAACAATTATCTTCAATTTGATTTTAAACACATTATATTAATATTGGTATTTAGTAGCACCTTCAACAGCATATTTGAGATACACGGGTTGAACGGTCTTTGTATGTAAGAGATCTTCTGAATACCGACCTTATACACTGGTTGACTACTTTATTGGAACCATCTTTTACTGCAATAATAGTGTAGACCCGGTGGCATATACTCTAAAAAACACTTGAAGGCGTCTTGTTTGATTGCAATCCATTCGTTGAGGAGTATGATCAGCAATCTGTTTACAGATGTCGGCAGAGAATTATATTGGCGAATGTGACGTTCTTGTTAATCCCAAAAGATGTTCAATCATATTGAGAACTTGTTATTATGCTGGATAAGAAAGGTGATTGAAGTCAGTGTTGTTCCCTTTAAATTAATATTAGATAGTACAAGAGTGGTAGATTATTTCATAGCGTTTTGAGAGACCTTTTGAGCTTAGGGTTGAAATTATAAGCAACTACGTTCTGTACATTGTGGATGTTATTCGCCCTTTCTAGGGGATCAAAGGACCCATTCCCCTCTAAGAGACCCTTTTCCCATATATTTTCATCATCTTCAACAGTTAGCACTGTCGGAACAAGAGAAGAATGTCAAATGGTTATATTTTCTGTATTTTTACTCCACCTTCAATACAAAAGAAAGTGAAATACAACTCCTCACACCAGAAGTTTAAAATAATTCACCGTCCACAGTTTGCTCTATTAGCAATTTTTTCCTGTTTCCATCTAATATAAGTGATATTTGGACTGGTTTTCGGCTGTCATATGTCAATTAATAAAGCTTAGTTTACATATCCACATGCTTTTTTTTAACAGCATTCCTTCTTATTAGAGCATTTGAAATGTCAAAGAAATGATCTGTCGGGAAATTGTAAAGATAATTTTATTATAACAGTTATATTCACCATGAGTTATCTAATCAAGGCTGTTGAATACTTTTCATTATATAATTGTAAAAACCTTGTTTACAAATGATGCAATTTTTATTTATTTTAATCACAAGAGGAAACTTTTAAAAGTTATGCAATCACTATGTAGGGATAATGATCCATGGTGCTCTTTTATTTTAAAATAGAAACTATTCTACTGTATTTTGTGTATGTTATTGTCTAATAATAAACATGCCTCATATATACTCACTGTTTCTACCTAACAAGCATATTTTCAATGTTTCGACATTAACGTAGGGTGGAAAAAATCGACAACGGCATTTCAATCCAGGAGATACCCATCGACATAGCAGTGCCACCAGCAGCCAACTTCTCAATGGAGACCAGATCTCCCATCGACATAGCAGTGCCACCAGCAGCCAACTTCTCAATGGAGACCAGATCTCTAGTGGAAATACGACAACTGTTTCCGATGAAGATGTCACAACTGATTGGACTCCTGAGATACCGTTTGAAAATGTAGATATTTATTGTTGTTAATTTTATCAAAGATAAATTAAACACATTTTAAATTTTTTTACAACTCTTTGTTAGTAAAAAATTCGAATAAAGGGTAAGAGAAAATGTACCAAAATATAATTTTGGTATTCAGCTTTGAAGGGTAAATGGGCTTCATCTTCATGTTTGAGTTTGTTTTGAGACGAGGTTTTGCTCTAATAGTACACATCTTTATTAGATCTCGGGTTAAGCTATTCGAAACTTAATATCAAGACAAAGGTGTAATAATATATAATACCAACGATCTTAAATGCAATATTTTGTTAAACTGTCGAAAATAATTTGCCCACCAGAAATACTGAAACTATTATTTCTGTAATCAACATGAAGTCGTTAAAGTTACAGACTTAAGCATCATCAAGTAAAACGTCCTAATATTTTAATTATGTTATAACACTGGAGAGCCTATATCAAACCAAGTAAGTTATGCAGCTTTATATTTGTTTACCAGCCCTAATTTCACCTTACAAAATAGACAGAAAAATTAGAACTAAAGAAGAATACTCAAAAACTAAATAGATTCATTAAATCTTTAAAAATTAAAAACCACAAGTAGAAACTTTAAAAATGAACACAAATCTCATCCAATTTAAAGCCATGTAATTATTTAACTTCTTGTTTCTAGCTGTCATGATTTTCATAATTGATAACAGATCTTATAATTGTATAACTTACTGAACTCTCTTCATTTTATTTTTCTTTATTATTATAAACCATTGTCAGTTTCCATCTGAACCTTTACATTTGTTGAATTAATCGGATGATGCTTAACAATCATACGAATATGTAAAACATCTACTAGTACTGATGTAATTAAGTAGAATTTCACTTTAGCTTTGTCAGCTAGCATTAGTCTGCTAAGGGTGAAAGATAATTGTGATACTCAATTTTCTTAGACTTTTGATTCGGAAAATGTTGATATAAATGGCACTGTCTATTGTTCTCTAGTTACTTACTGCTCTGCTATATGTTAACTGTTATGAGAGCTGGAATACAATCTTCTTACCAGTCCTAGTTGTCTGTTATTGATAACTTTATTTGAGCAATTACCTTCACACAACTCGTAAAGATGTAGATGTAGTGGGGTGGGTCACCCACATTTATTCTTTTTCTTTTCTTCTTTCTTCAGTTTTTTTTTCTCTGCAGTTTGTGAGGCTAGAGCTATATGGGTCCTGCTGACTTAGATACCCTTAAGATTAAGAAACATTTTATAATATCCCACATTCTAGCATGTACATTAGTATTATTTACTTTGTTCTTGTTGTTGCGTTTTGTTTTGCTGTCAGAACATTTATAATAGTTTTATTGTTGTTGGAAATGATAATTTATTTTTGATGCAATTGTTTTAAATTACACCTGAAACTAAACCATTTTTTTAATTATTCTATAGACTTCTCAATAAAAAATGAGTCGATTCAATTAACAAAGAGATTGTTGTTTTTTGTAAATTGCGCATAGATAAATCTGACTTTATATGAAACGTTTTACAAAATATTTCATAGTAAATCATCCTTAGAAAGGGATAAAACCTTATGAAATTGGTTAGAGAAACACATTTAGATACTCTCATACATTTGCATCAGCTTAACTTTGTGCCCCCCCCCAAAAAAAACGAAAGTAGCAACAACAAAACTTAAAAAGTTTACTTAAAATTCTTGAAATTGACGTAATAGTTTAGTAATTTGAGTTATTAAAAAAAGTGCTTTACAAGCGATAGCTACTGATTTTTTCTTGAGCTTAACTGATAGCGTACTTGCCTGGTGTGTGAGAGGTTCCAGCCTATAATCCTGTTCGGAGAGACACCAAAATTGAAATACCAGTAAAAATCTGGTGCTCATCTAGTGGTCGTTTCACGAACCTGATATAATGAAACTTTGCAAGAGAGTAAGAATGCGGTATTTCCAGCTGTTAAAAAGTGTTTACCAGAAATGTTACTGAGTTAAAACTCTTTAGTTCAGTTTTAAAGAGCACTCGTCTGGTATGTGAGAGATCCTGGGTTCAGTCCTGCTCTAGGGAAACATAAAAGACGTGAAGTTTTTAAAATCATAAATTGATAAACGTATAACATTAATTAACAGGAACATTACTCTAAATACATGAACTAATACACTGGTAAACAGTACTTTCAAGTAATTGCTCAAGGTTTTATAAAATGTCTAAATAATTCAATAATACTACAAACACATGAAACAAATATTTAAATCACAATGTCTGTCTTTACAGTAAAAAACGAAATTAATAATTACTTCCAAATGAAAAAGGGAAACAGTTTCTAAGAGTTGGGTTACGTATTTTAACCACCTTTTTTCAGTTAACAACTATCGACAATGCTCTCAATGATTTTAAGAACACAATTGTTTGTATTATTGATTTTCTTCAATAATGTTTTGTTATACAACATCCTATTTTCTAGGCTTTATTAGCTGCAGAAGTGGACTAATTAAGTGGCTGACGGAAAAATATATGTTATTATTACAGAAAGCAAAATAATCCTTTAAATTTATCTTCTCATGTTCAGTTAAATGACCTTGGCGATCCTGTAGACGAAGATTCTTTTGACGTTAACCATCGGCCACTGAATCAAGAAAAACAAATCGACAATAGAAAAACAGAAAGTCATCGAAAATTAGCACTGACAATGAGCGAAGAAGTCGACGAATTAATTGATCACAGTATCGAAATTGAATCCAACAAACGGATAAGAAAAGAAAATGTGAGATGGTTTACATTGAGCTTTAAGTCCAAAGACATGGAAGCAAATGTGAGCACATTTTCATGATTTTAGTATATTTAAATTATTTTCTTTTTTTGTCATTTAAATAGAAGAATAAAGACAGTATCTAAACTAAATATAGATATATAACAGTAAATCTGTCATATGAATCGAGGTTATAATATCTAAAACCGTATTTTATTTTTCAGTTTCATCAGATTCGAGATACGGTATTCCGATCCAATCTATTGTGTGCCTTCGTTATCTGGTTATTTATTGCTACTTGTCAAAGTATTTTATTACCAAGGTATGTTGCTAAGAAATCATTTGATCTCCTCCTATTTTTTTACGCACGATTTATTTGTTAACAATGACATATTATAGCTTGATATGCCAGTTTCAGTTTATCTTTAAAACGCATTTTTGGTATTACTTCTTTGAATTCTGTAAGACTATTTCACCGTTTCATCGTTTACTTTATTTTTTATTTTTCAAATTGGAATCAACCCCGTATTCTCTACAAATTTAAAAGTAGCAATACATTGTGGATAGATATTAAAAGTTTATGGTATATAGCTACATAAATCATCCAGCTAACTGGTCATTGGTCTAACTCATAGAAAACTATCAAAAAATTTAGGTAATTAAAAGCTTACATTGTAAGAATGCTCGTCTGAGTGTTCTAATATACGATAAATACTCAAAATGAAACTGGATCTTGTCTCCCGTAGAACAACAATTTTAGATTACAACCAGTTATAATACATTAACAGTGTATTAATAATGCACATATATGTCATTAATATATTCACGCGTTATCACTGGTTAAAAATATTCATATCTAATTAATTCTCCTCGAAATGAACATTTTAAGATATTTCTATACATAATATCATCCTTTAGTTGAATGGTGTCCGTACGAAGTGGTAAACACACTTTTTCACCCACCTCTTTCCGCCTTAATGTTTCGAGATGTGATCTTTGCTTTAAACTTTCTACTGTCTTTTACTACGCAAGTTTCATTTGATTTCAGTTGCTTCACACATATCCACTTTCTAATATTGTAATATCAGTCCTTTATCTCTGACCTTTACATTTCTATGAGATGTTAAGTGCCAGTTTTAGTGATTCCATCTTTATCTTCATTCAGTTATACCCTTATCGGCATAAACATCCTACTCACGCACACCTTGATTTACTTCAGGAGTGACTCCTCGGTGGATCAGCTTTAAGCCTGAGGGTTTATAGCGACAAAAATAGAGAATCAATCCCTGTGATGAACACATTGCAGATGAGCCATCGTGTAGCTCTGCACTTAAACAAGAACCAAACATTACAAGTGTAAAAATGTTAGATAAGGATTACATATGATTACTCAGTTTTGTTAAAGTATTTATGATTAATAAAACCTTGCTGCTTTTGATAATTTTAGTGACTTAATTTATCATTCATCTTAATGTAAAATTTACTTTCATTTTGATTATGCCATCTATTTTGTTTTAACACAAATATGATTTCAAATAGTGCCATAAGAATTGCTTGAATAGATATTTTCAATAATTTTCCGAGAAAAAATATCTAAAATATGGCATAACTTTCATATTTACGAAGTCTGACAAAATTATTATAACAAAGTTCGGGAGAGTGGAAGTCTGACGTAGACTACAAACAAACATTTTTATCTATTTCCTATGAAACACATAAAATAAGAAATAGATGACAATTTTCTTCGGGCATACCACCTTTTTCAAATCTGATAAGTGTCACATTTTTGCACTCAAATATAACTTGATTTTGTAATTTTCTCTCAAACACGTTGTTTTTGTTTCTCCTAGATCCTTGATAATGTTAGTGGCGTTTCTATTGACAACTTTGGCACTAATCATCTTTGTTCTGGTAGCCATGGCAACAGAATTTTCTTATTTTCCGAAGGCCATTAAGAATGTCTCAAGAAAATTGGACGAAAAGAGATTTTTTCGTAACTTAGTGATCTGTGGAGCTGTATTTGTAATATTTATTGCATCTTCCTCAACAATGGCAAGTACTTCTGTAAAATAGAGACAAAAAAATCTGAAGAATCAGAATATTGTATCTGCTGCTCATCGTTTAAAGATGGCTAGTTCTATCGTGAACACAAGGTTACTTAATATATTGTGAAAATGGTAGTAATATTTTTATGGTACTCCATAAGAAGGAAAATCTTGTCGTAGTCAACCATCATTGTTTCAATTAATAAATGTTTATACTGAGTAACTTGTATGTAAAATGACTATTCTTTATTTTGGTTTTGTGTTGTTTTTTACAACAACAACAACAAAATAATATCAAGGTAAAATGTCTCGCCCATCATTATCCCATTTAATTTCAGAATAGCATGGATAGCAAAAGAAAAAAAAAGCAGCATTTTGTCACAAAACCAAACTTTTCATAAACACTCAAACTATATTGCATGTTTGAACACCCAGATAGAGTTTTAAAATTTTCTGTGTTCCACTTTTATGCATACAGACCACATTAATCTTTGGTCACATCAAGCATTTACCTTTCTGTTTTGTAAGTAGCGACCATGATACACTATGTCAATGTAACCATTCTTTTTTCGACGTTTGAATGTAATGTTTTTCTCAGCTTTTTTTTTTCGAAGATTACATATGTACATAAAAGTTTTCGCTTCATAATTATACGTGCCAACCAAATTTTATATTTTAGGTCTATACAGCCACTAGTTAAAGTAGGACAGAAATTTACCGCAGTAGCGCTATTAGCGGATGTTTAAGTACTTTTAACAGGTGCAGTTTTCTCACAATTATATTCTATACAAAATATCACAATTGTTTTTTTTTGACAGTTATTTCTTTATATAAATAAAAGCATTATACCATCAATAGCTCAGTTAACTTTTCACTTTTATTTTATTTTCATTTCGCAAACTTTCGGTTTCATTGCTGAAACCTGTTATGTTATACATGTTTTAGAGGCCTCCAATACTGAGGACTGAAGCTTGTAAAAGAAATGCAAATAATAATGATAATAAAAGGTGGAGAAATTTCACTGAGATACTAATTCAAGAATTTCTTCCCACTTGATGAACTAAAATATAATTACCAATATCTCATATTAATGTTTGCCGTCCCCACTCATCCCTGGTCATATTAGGTCCATATAACAGTTGTTTCTTACGTAACTAGATAAGTGGTCATGAATTAATGGTTAGCAAGCCAAGTTGTGTATCCATGGCTAGCGTTACCGTTACCATAAAAACGAATTGTCCTCCACACTTTAGAGACGTGAGTGCGTTATATAGAGTGACGGTCAAATCCAACTGTTCAATTATAGTAGCCCAAGAGTTGGCGGTAGATGTTGTTGACTAGCTTCCTTCTCTCTAATTTATCAGTTCAAAAACTAGGGACAGCTAGAGCAGATAATCTTTGTGCAGTTTTACGTCCGAAAGATAAGAATACTAAGATTGTCGTAACAGGAAAAAATACACACATGCTATCCTTAAAACCTTTTTTTTTTTTTTCAGATTTGTATTTTATCAATCTAACAATGGAAAACTTTGTACCCAATGATTTTTTATTTAAGGTAACATGACAAACCCAGTATATTTATTGTAACGTAAGTGCAGATACCCTTTTGAAAGACTCTCTGAAGAAACCGTCTACTAATGACAGCATACACTAGGATCTGACTAAGAATGAGCATGAGTGGACTTACGTCTTATACATTTCTCTCGAATAACATCATTTCAAAACCTCGCCTATAGCTCAACTTCCTGACTTCCAGAAGTACGTCCTCTTTGTCAAGAGTCCACCTAAAAAAAGAAAATTTCTTCAACTGCAATCATTTAATACTCATCTGAGTTACTTCATAACATGAATTGAAATGCTTACTTGAGATCTATTATACATTTCTGTTTTCCGATTAATAATTTGTTTTCTCTCATTCATCTTTCAAATAAAAATGTGTAAAAACTATTATAAAACAAACACCTAATTGTTTTAAAACCTGCACTGCCTATAAACCGAAACTCAAATAAAGATTATTTTGTTAAATTTAATTATTGAAATATTACTTCAAAAATGTCATTTAGTTCTATAACTTTAGTAGTTATTCCTTATGATTTTCAAAATGATTAGTAATGTCATTTAATGCTCAAGGGTTTTTGTTTTTTGTAGTTTGTCTGCGATAGATTCTCCTCTAAAGAGTCAAATGATACCTCATTGTACGATCCTGATAGTCCGTATTGTTATTATCCTCAAGTAAGTACTGTTTAAACTCATTCTGTAAAAATATAACCATAACTCGAAGGTTTTTTGAATGATTTTATGTGACACAAAAAAGTTTTAGTAAAGAACTCAAAAATACACCTTTAAGATACGGTTTACGTAGACTGGAAGAAAAAAAAAGCTTATAATGTCGATATCATATACAAATAGTCTGCTAAGTGTCATTTTCTTTAAATAATAGTATTGCAGAGTGCTTAAAGTCTTCTTCTAAGGCTCATATATTCCAACATTCTTTTAATATTAATGCCGATTCTTTCTCATAATTCATTGTTTCAGGTCATTTAAAGTAAACTTAGATTTTTTTTCAACTGTCTTGAAAATAATCACAGTTTTGTTAGGAGAATATCTGGACCGTGTGTAAAATGTGGTATCTCATTTTACAACAAAGTGCTGAAAGTCTAGGCTCTGTGTAAAAAAATGTGATACTTTATTCTGTAGCAAAGTGCAAATGTTTAGCTTTGGTGTTTGCTACAGTCTATTCTTAAAGCCTATTTTCAGCATGAGTGGATTTATACAGATATATAGAATTTCATGTTTTTCACCCTGAATCATGAAGAAGAATAGTTAACGTTGAACCGATAGGGAAACTAAAAATCTAAAAGCACAGAAAAAAACTCTTAATTAATTAATTTACAAAACCACTGTAGTCAAACATTTTTTGCTTTACAAATAATGCGAAATGTCATGTATGTTTCAATTTAATTACGAAAAGTTTTGTTAATTAAATTCAATTTAGTTTCAATTATAAAAACATAATTAGATTCAATAAACCGTTAGCAAGACGTAATATACTTCTTCAACACGATCTGCTACAGATTAGGGACGTGAAGTGCAAGAGCCAAGCTTCCATAAAGACATTTTAACTGTCACAGTACTGAACACACATTAGAAAGTTTAAAATGACAATTTATTGTTGTAATGACGTAGGCATCTGCTGAGTGAAAACTTGAAATGTTTTAAAATAATTGCTATGTTTTCTTTCAACATTTTTAGTAATGTTTTAATTTAGCTTTGTTCTGCGGGTTTATTTCGTTAAATGGCTAATAGAAAATAAGTTCAACTAAAGCAAAAGAATTAATAGGACATATTATTCATGGTAAAAATGACAATTGCACTGAAACTAGTTAATTCGCAATATAAAATACGCATACGCTTCGATTCGAAATTATTTTGTGGAGATATATTTTCACAATAGATTCTTTTCTCAACTTTAGAACAACTAGCAGATCGGCTTGCGGAAATAAGTTAATACTTTTACGAGGGATCTGAAATTGTAAATTTCGATTAATATAGCAAATTTAAAAAGTTTTAACTTTGGCTTTAAAAATATTGATTATATTTTACCTTTAGTCATCAATCTATCAAAATCAAACAACTTTATTATTTTTTACTTTGTATAATTAGTTTACATTTTATGCATTTTTCTACTAAATATTTGACTTATCTTGACAATTTACGAGCATGAGATAAAATAAAAGAACTGTACCACCGTGGGACAGCGGTAGGTTTTAGGATTTATAATGCCAAAGTCAGGAGTTCGATTCCCCTCGATGGACACAGCAAATAGATCGATGTGGCTTTTCTCCAAGAAAACACACACACATGAAAGAACTGTTTCGATATTGTAGTGCCATCTATTAATCACTAGAAATAATGATTCAATAAAATAGTATACTAAAAACATAAGCATAATTTTATGTAAAGACTAACTGATAAGAAAACACTAAAATCGTGATATTGTTTCGGGGTAATACGCTGATTACGTTGTGCGAAATGCAAGCAACCCACAGGAAAATACAACATGACAACAGTTGGTACAGCTAATTTAATGATGTATTGTTTTTAACTACATTTTGCATAAAAATTAACGCAGTTCATTTCATCATTCTGGCTTCAAATTTATAAATAATTAGTTTATTATTTATAATTATATTGCATTTGTCTTTGGCTTTTCGTTAATCTATTTGTTCAAACTAAACTAAAAAACATAATTTGATTTCAGTATTTCGTGTTTACCTGGATCCTGACTATGGTAGCGTGTGCGGCCTTTTTGAAGCTAAACTATTCTCTAAAAATGGTCATGTTGGTTGTTATGGTAACAGTTTATCTCACTTTCATCGGAGTTATCTTTGGCAAAGTTTTCGACAGAATCCAAAGTTGTAACAGCAATGAAAAGTAGGTATTTTGGAAGTTAATATAATATTACTTTAATTGTGTCCAATATTGACGTGTATTTTATTCATTATTTGAGGCTTAACAGCATTCTTTTTACTGACTCCATTACCAGTGTTAAGTAATATAAAATATCCCCAAGGTCACCTGAAGCTATGCTAATGAAGATTATATATTTCAGATTTTACAATTTCCAAGAATTGAATTCCTTATAATTTCTTTAAAAGTAATAATTTCGACATTACCTTTACCAGCTTTTCAGCCTGCAGTTGAGCTTCTCAGTGGAAATAGAACCAAAACTGTCATAAAAGTACGCATTCATTTTCGTTCAAATTGTATTAAAAATGTATGAGTCCTATATAGGATTTTTTTCAATTGTTCCTAGTTTCAATGAGATCATACACATACGTTCATTTTATAATAATAACGTCCTAGTAGTCTAAAGTTCGCACCGCAATGCTGCTAAACACTTTTTGCATTTTCAACTTTTTGTGAATTATAAGAGTAAGAGGCAGTTTCAATGGTGTGTTCAAAACCAAAAATAGCTGTTGTTGCTGATTTTTTGCCTTTTATCTGTTTAGTAGCTCAGAATAAGGACTGGATGTGCAAGAAAACTAGAGATGCTTGACCTGGTCAATTACCCCTTATGCACATAAAGTACTGTTTGGGGTTGAAAAGTTAATGCCAATCTCGTTTTTGTTTTTCATTTTTCGTTTCACTGTTGTATTCATACGTTAGTATGTTTTTGTTTTTTTCATTTGTAGAATCCCCTATTGGTCAACAGTATATTTAGGGACTTACAGCGCTAAAATCCGGGGATTGATTTCCCGCAGTGGACAGAGCATAGATAACCTATTGTGTGGCTTTTACCTAAACAAACAAACAAACATTTGTAGATTCACAGGGTGTGCAAAGACAAATTTTGCCATCCTTAAGAAAAGAAACAGTTTTTAGACATTTGTATCTTACTTTCTCTAATCTGTCTTGATTTCCTTGTTCTTATCTTGCTTATTGTTTAAAATATTTTCATCTTATGTAAATAATAATAATAGGAAACTATTAGAAAACAACTTTTTGGAAAAACGTTCATTTACTTAATAAAATGTTTGGTTGTCTGTCGTCCTTTACAATTAATGTAAACCTAATTAGGACACACTCTGATCTTCGTATACCTGCTGATAATTTTGCTCCTAGCTTATTCTATTGTCTTGTTTCAAGTAGTAATGAATATACAATAGAGTGAAATTCCTTCTACTATAAATAAAAACGGCTTAAATTTCATAAAAACAGCTTACTGTACCACTGCATTATTTTACACCTTCTTCTGGGTAAAGGGTCCGGCGTGACCTCGCTTATAGCGTGCCGGTATGCAATTTGTGCTGCCGTAAACATCGTGCTCATTATTTTGGGGACATGGGTGCGTTAAAGAGTGAAGTCAAAGCTGTTCACTATTCGATTAAAGCAAACTAGGAATTGGTGGTGGATGCTATTTACCAGCTGCATTCTCTGTTATATATCTGACCAGATGGTTAGGGCGCTCGACTCGCAATCTGTGGGTCCCTGGTTCGAATCCCGTCCCACCAAACATGCTCGCCCTTTTAGCCGTGGAGGCGTTATAAAGTGACGGTCAATCCCACTATACGTTGGTAAAAAAAGTAGCCCAAGAGTTGGCGGTGGGTGGTGATGGCTAGCTGCCTTCCCTCTAGTCTTTCCTTGCTAAATTAAGGACGGCTAGCGCAGATAGCCTTTGTCTAGCATACGTGAAATTCATAACAAACCAAACTGTTATCTATCAATTCAAATTTAGAGACGACTGTATGCAGATAGCCCTTGTGTAACTTTGCTTGAATTTCCGAAACAATCTTCTGGTTAAGTCATTTTACAGTAACACAACTAGTGGTAAAACGCTTTATCCAGAAGAAAAGATATGCCGAAGCTTTGGTAAACAGTTTAGTTTTCTCCAAAGCATAAATCGTTTTTGTTTGTAGAATGAGCTATTTTATTGTATTATTCACTACGTTACACAGAAACTGATGTTTGTTAAGTTTTTTCCCTTGGAAACGTGATGACTTGAATTATTTTATAGGTCAAAACCGCATACGTGGACTTCCCTAACCAATACTGTTAGACACCTTCTTTCACGATATTTTCAACTTACAAAAGTAAGACTTTATGTGTAATAGTTTTGCAGTTGTAAATTACAAGTAGACATCGTTACCAAGAGCCCAATATTCCATATATTAGATATTTTCTTGTTACCTTATAGATATCATTCTCTTTATCTCCAGAAAGACATTCAGTTTATCTATTGTTTCTTCTTCTTCTAAACACTTTTCAATTGGCCGGCATTCCTTCATCTCTCGGCGGATTGACTTGAAACTTGATAGAGCTATACCTTGGTCCAATACGCCCAGACGCCTTTTTCATTTTTTTATTTAGTCATTTTTAAGGATTTCATGGGATCAAAGGTCAAATAATCTAAAAATGTATATTTGGGGACCTGTGCGGTCATATTTACAGCAACTTAGATGGAAATTAGAACAAATATAAATTCTTAAGCGCTCAACACATCGACATAAAAATTGGATTTTCCCATTTATAGTTTTTTAGGGGTTCAGCCTAATTAATCGACCATATTTTGACCAATTTACAATGGATTTAGCACAAATATATTTTTCTACAGGTCCCACACATTAACAAACAAAAATGGTGGACTTATCCATTTTTAGTAATGATAGGCGGGTCAAGATGGCTCAAAAAAGCATGATTTTACGGTTTTTTGATAATTACTATGCCGTATTTCGGACAACTTACATCGGATCTGTTAAAAAGATGTTCTTTTTATAGGTTCTATACATATACATACAAAAATGTAGGATATGTTCATTTCTGGTCATTGTAAGAGGTCAAAAGTTTAAATAAATCCATAATTATAAGGGTTTTGGTCAATTACTTTGCCTTGTTTCATGCAATTTGGTCCAAAAATACTCGAACAGTGATATTGACAATATTGGGATTTTTATCATTTGCTTAATTTTTCAGCAAGAAAAGTACAATTTAAGGTTTTCGTAAACTATTCATGCGTATGTCAATCAACTTTCATGAGATTTGGCACAAAGATACCTTCCCAAGCAGTGATATAAATAGTTTTCAGTGACAAAATTGGCCATGTTGGGATTGTTTGTTTGTTTGTTTTTGAATTTCACGCAAAGCTACACGAGAGCTATCTGGCTAGCCGTCCCTAATTTACCAATGTAAGACTAGAGGGAAGGCAGCTTGTGATCACCACCCACCGCCAACTCTTGGACTACTCTTTTACCAACGAATAGTGGGATTAACCGTAACATTATAACGCCCCACGACTGAAAGGGCGAGCATGTTTGGTGGGAAAGGGGATTCGAACCCGCGACCCTCAGATTACGAGTCGAGC